AACGGGCCTATCAACTTTATTTTTATTGATTTCTATGAATTTCTACTTTCTTAATGTTCTAGACTAGAAGAAACAATTTCGAGAATTTATATTATATCGACATTTAATCGATAGCATAATAAGACGTTTTCAGTTTTTGCAAATTGACCAGGAGTTCAGAATTTTTCTTTAACCTCAGGGAACTTCGTAAAACTACAAGGACTTCTAAAAAGTTTAGGGAAAATCGTAAAAATTAACGGAATTTAGGAGAAATTCTGCGAATTTCATAGAGCTTCAGAAAATTCGTAGAAACTCAGGGAGTTTTGGAAAACTTCAGAAGATTGCGTTGAAGTAGGAACTCTATTGGAGTGTTGGGATTATCGTAGAAGTTAAACATTATTTAATTTCAGAGAACCTCATTATTGTTCCGAGATCTACATACAAAATGGTGAGTTCATAACCTGAAAGAAGTGGAACACTTAGCTCTGGTCCTCACAAGTTCCTACATCACGCCTCCCAGAGCCATATGATAACAAAAGACTACCAGCTGAAACATGGACACAGCTGGGTAGCGTAGCCTGGGCAATGTTGCCAGTCCGGCACTAGCAAAGTGAAGAGGTGCGACGCGAACACTGGCGCTATAACTATAGTATGGTGATAGAGCGTCTATTCACCATGGAGGTGCGGCTCAAAACGACGTCTGTTCTCCATGTTAGGAGTGGCTGATCACCGTCCTAGTGCCAGCGTGGGACTCTAAACAGAGCTGTCCACAATGGTCCCCCGGCGAGACAGGGAGTAGGGAGGCCCTGGAAAAATATAAAGTTACAAATACCGAAGAAAGAAATACGGATCGGAACAATCGGCACAGACCTACTCGACGAAATAAGTACTACGATTGGAAACTCGGAACATGGAACCAGTGCTGTAAATTCTCAAAATCATTTGAACATTTTTGATGAAAATGAGAAAAGTTTCTATTCGCTATCAAAGGGGACCTCATCCGAATGGGTGATATCAGTTGCTTAGTCATTTGACGAAGGCATGGATCATTCTCATTTGAGAAACGCTATATATCATTCACTTGAGTGTAACCTACACACAAACGGAGCTCTGGTCGACATTCCGGCAAAAAAGCGAAGCCATCCCGACACCAACCTGACTTCTATCAAACCCCAACCCGATGTTGACCCGACATTGACCCGACATAAACTCAAAATTGACCCGACAACAACACGACATTGGGTCGACATCGACCTTAAATTAGCCTTACATTTATCTGACATAGGGTCGACTTGTCTGTTCGGGACCATTTTGCTGGATTTCTTCCATACTCCACTGTCGTATATCAAATGATAATGATTGACTCAATTGACAGTGACAATGAGCTTCGAATGAGAAAGGGGCTCTTCAAATTATGGTCATGTGAGAATTCGTTTACGCAGAATTGATTGAATGGTTGTATTGGTTCATCTTCAATCGAATGATATGAAAATTTACAGCACTGCATGGAACTGCAAATCGATCAGCTTCCTGGGCTGCGATAGGTGAATCCATGACGAACTTCGACCACGCAACTTCGAAGTCGTAGCACTGCAGGAGCTTTACTGGACGGGACAAAAGGTATGGAAAAGCGGACATCAAGCGACTACTTTCTACCAGAGTTGTGGCATCACCAACGAGCTGGGAACCGGCTTTGTAGTGCTGGGTAAGATGCGCAAATGCGTGATTGGTTGGCAGCCGAGCAACGCGAGGATGTGAAAGTTGAGGATAAAGGCCGTTTCTTCATCTACAGCATCATTCACGTGCACTGCCCACACGAAGGGAGACCCAACGACGAGAAATAAGCGTTCTATGCGCAGTTGGGTCAGGTGTATGACTGCTGTTCGCAACGGGACGTCAAAATCATCATCGGTGACATGAACGCTCAGGTAGGACGAGAGGCAATGTACAGACCGGCAATCGGGCCAAATAGCCTGCATGCCGTATCGAACGACAACGGCCAACGATGCGTGAAATTTGCAGCTTCCCGTGGTATGGTAGTCCGAAGTACCTTTTTCTTTCGCAAGGATATTCACAAAGCCACCTGGAGATCACCTGACCAGCACAGAGAAAACTAAATCGATCACGTTCTAATCGACGGGAAATTCTTCTCGGACATTATCAACGTCCGCACGTACCGCAGTGCGAACATAGATTCGGACCACTACTTATTTGCAGTATGCTTGCGCTCAAAACTCTGGACGGTGCATAACACCCGTCGAAGTCGAACGCCGCGACCCAACATTGAGCAACTACGGGACGCCGGAGTTGCCCAGCATTACGAGCAACACAACCCACGGAAGAGCAGCTTGGCGCAGCTACTCTTGAAGATGGCTGGAAGAACATCCCTTCCGCCATAGGTAGTACTTCTGCAGCGGCACTAGCTACTGCAATCCCGGACTGAAGAAATGGCTGGTTTAACGGCGAATGCAAACTGTTAGTAGAGGAGAAGAATGCAGCGACATCCACGAGATTGAATCTGGAGCAATACAGACAAGCGCGGAGCAGACAAAACGTGGTTTTCCAAATGAAGAAGCGTCAGCAGGAAGACCGAGATCGCGAGGCGATGGAAAATCTGTACCGACACACGGAACTTCTACGAGAAGCTAAATAGTTTGCGCAAAGGCTACGTGCCGCAAGCCGATATGTGCAAGGACTTGGACGGCAACCTTCTCACGAAGGAGTGTGAGGTGATTGAAATGTAGAAGTAGTACTATGACGAACACCTCAACGGTGATGCAGCAGAAACCGAAGGTGGCATGGCAACAGACCTTGGTGCACTCGCATAAAATGACAGGCTTCCGGCCCCTGATCTTCAAGAAGTTGAAGAGGAGATCGGTCGGCTGACAAACAACAAAGCAACTGGTGTAGACCAACTACCAAGTGAGCTATTAAAATACGGTGATGAATCACTTTCTAGAGCGCTGCACTGGGTAATTGCCAAGATTTTGGATGAGGAAATATTACCAGAAAGGGCGAAAAGTTGGATTGCTGCAACTACCGCACGATCACACTTCTGAGCGCCGCCTACAAGGTACCAAATTCTATGCCGCCGCATGTCACCATTTGCAAGAGAGTTCGTGGGACAATACCAGGTGGGATTCATAGGTGCCCGTGCTACCACGGACCAAACTTTCGCGATTCGGTAGGTTCTGCAGAAATGCCGCGAATACAACGTGCCCACACATCATTTGTTCATCGATTTCAAATCCGCATACGACACAATCGATCGAGATTCGCTATGGCAGATTATGCACGAGTACGGATTTCCGGATAAACTGACGCGATTGGTCAAGGTGACGATGGATCGAGTGATGTGCGTTGTTTGAGTCCTTTGAATTTCGAAGGGGGTTACGGCAAGGTGATGGACTTTCGTGTCTGCTAGTCAACATCGCGTTAGAAGGTGTGATCAGAAGAGCTGGGATATACACGAGTGGTACGATCTTCTGGAAGTCCACCCAGCTTCTTGGCTTCGCCGATGACATCGACATCATGGCACGAAACTTTGAGACGATGGCAAAAACGTACATCAGACTGAAGGCTGAAGCTAGGCAGACTGGACTTGACATCAACGCATCGAAGACGAAATACATGAGAGGAAGAGGTTCTAAGGAAGACAATGTTAGCCTCCCACCCCGAGTTCAGATTGACGGTGATGAAATTGAGGTGGTCGATGAGTTCGTGCATTTGGGCACACTGGGGACCGCCGAAAATGATACCAGCAGAGAAATTCAAAGACGCATTATGGCAGGGAAACGTGCCTACTTGTGACTCCGGAGGACGCTCCGGTCGAATAAAATTCGCCGCCGCACGAAGTTGACTATCTACAAGACGCCTCTACGACCACGAGATCAGGACTATGCTCGTGGAGGACCAACACGCCCTTGGTGTTTTCGAACCGATGGTGTTGCGTACCATCTAGGGTGGAGTGCAGATGGATCACGTGACGTGGAGGAGGCGAATGAACCACGAGTTGCACCAGCTGCTGGGAGAATCATCCATCGTCCGCATTGCAAAAATTGGGCTGCAACGGTGGGCTGGGCACGTCGTAAGAATGCCGGACGACGATCCAGTGAAAATGTTTCTCGAAAGTGACCCAACAGGAACAAGAAGAAGAGGTGCCCTAATAAAATTGTTATGGTTATTTTGCTTAACGACGTGTTCTGGGTATCTTCCAAACCATTTGTGGAAAAGTTCAATTATTTGGGTTATCGTTCGTATATGGTTATTTTTTATTAGGGTGTGCTGCGACCAAGTAGAAAGCGACCTGTGGACCCTTCGCAGACTACGAGGCTGTCGAAATGTGGCCATGGATCGAGTAGAGTGGAGACGATTTCTTTGGACAGCAGAGGACAATAAGGCCTTAGCCCGATTGGTAAGGTAGGCCATTTGCCTGTTTCTGGTCACCTTCACGCAGTTTGTTTTGCATCACCTTCATTATGCCTTTACGGCCGTTATATGTCCTGTGGGTTCGGAAAAAAACAACCCACGGAACTTTTTAATTGTTGAATCCAAGTACGTTACTCTGGTATGTGATCAGATTCATATGTTTGTTCGTGGCATGATATCTATTTAATTCTGGATGAAAGATCACAAATGTTGAGCCATCGGACGTCCTTTTGGGGCCTTAACGGAACCGGTGCAAGATAGCCTAAATGGCCATATTTCATAAATCCTGGAAAGGGTGACATTCTAGTAACCTTAATGTTTCATTTGAGGCCAATAAATCAAGAATCGATTTCTGGAAGCTAGTTGAAGTTTGGGTCTCTTTTGAGCCGCTAACTCTTTCCTAATGCATTAGGAAGGTTAAGGAATTTTGATCCTATGTGTTCAATATAGAGTAACTCAAGTTTATCAAATTTATTCGAAATGCATTGGGAAGCTACTGTAGAGCCTGATCAATTTTACCGATCGTAAATCGATATCTAAAGTGATCGAAAGATGACTCCCAGTTAATACGGAACCCCATTATACTATTCCAGATCAAAGGCACCGAACCGCTGCTGGAGATGTTCACCCTTCTGACCTATTGCGACGAGTTCGCCGTCTTCAAGTGCCGCAACAGTGCCAAACGAACGCTGAATGAACTGAACCGCTCGAAGACGTGCAACACCATCCGGTTCCCGTTACGGGGCCGTATCCAAACGACCACGGCAATGGCATCCTGTCTGATACAAGCCGTATTCGGTAATCTACCGATCGAAGACGGTTCCCTGCAGCAGGAAGCTACCAAGATGATCAACGTTGGCCGACGGCTGATCAAGTGTATGGCGGAGTTTATCTACGTGGGTCAAATGGGGCGAGAGGATGAAGAAGGGCCCGGTGTCTATCAGGCTCTGTTGAGTACGTTGATCTTGGGTCAATGTTTGGAGACGAAGCTGTGGGAGAATAGTCCCTACATTACGAAGCAGCTGAAGGGGATTGGGGCTGTGTATGCCGGTCAGTTGGCAGCGCGTGGGAAGATTTCCTTCCAGGAGCTGATGGATACCGATCCGAGGGAGTTGGAAGTGGTAGGTCTGCTCGGAAGGAGTGCTACAAGCTAGAACTGTTGTACTGAAGTTACTTGATCTCACTACAGATTTTGAAGAAAAATCCACCCTTCGGAAGTGATCTGACTGATTTTGTTAGGACATTACCCATCTTCTCAATCGATCTAGTTTTGAAGCAAGACTACGTACTGGAGGTAACGGTTGTTCAGAAGAACAACTGCTACAACAAGCAGTTGGCCGTTAGAATTTCGATTCTAGTCGGTGACTCCAACAACAATGTTCTGTTCTTTAAGGAAAATTGGTGAATAATTAAGCTAGTAATTGATGGTTTAAGGGTTTGCAATAATCAAGGTTTTCATTTAAGTGACGCAAATCCGGGTGGCAGCTGTCGCTATCAGGAGTCGTTTAAAATCACGGATGCCACCGTAGCGAGCGCTACGGGGCATGTGATTTGCTTCAACTGGACCGGGTTGGATTGTACGAGGACGATTGTTATCAACGAGGAAACTGCATCATCCTTGGTACCGGAGAAGCAACGCACTCGGAAGGTGAATAATGATACTGCTTCGAAGAAGATTACTGAGTTCTACAGGAAGGAGGATCCCAAAGCGGCGGAGGTTGGTGGAAATGATCGCAAGGTCGACAGAGCTTCCAACGAGAATACGAAGAAAATCGCTGAAGTTATCCAGATCGAGGACAGTCCCAAGAGAGATTTCCTTGAGTCGTTCCGTTTCACTCAGAAACCGAAGCTTAACATCGATAAAGAGAATGACGGCAGCTTCGGGTTGGTTAGAGCTTCTAGTCTTAAACAGCAGAATTCGAATGATTCAGGGTACGTTTCGCTCCAATCTTTGAATTCGATGAATCAATCAACTCAAACGGAGCATACAGAAAGTATCCGTGCTCATGAATCCTTCGATTTTACTGTACTTGGAAGTCAGTGCAAGCGTCGCAAAATGAACGAAACAGTTGTATCAGACCCTCTGAAAACCAACCAAGCTGCAGTTGAATTGGAGATCAAGACTCACGACGTAGATGATTCACCCGAACAACCGAAGAAACTGAATTTCTTCAGCCAACCGAATCGCTTGGAGCAACAAACAACCGCCCATTCTCCACTCAATCTAGCCCCTTTCATCCCTGACAGCACTCCGCGGTACAAACCGTCCAATCGGATGCAATATTTTACCGAAATGCATCGCAAGAATCCCTTCATGCTGTTTGGTCGCCCGCAAGACTTCGCAGCACAGCAGGAACGGCAGAGGAGCTCCGTTCGTAGAATTTGTCTCTTTGGAGTCTTCTCGGAAATGCCGAGAAATCGAAATGAATCGCTTTCAGTGGCGTCAATGGCAGCAGGCAACAATGCGGAGGAGAGGAAGGTATTTCGTTCCATGTACAGCGTCGACGGGGACAACAATGGGCTGTTTTACCGGAAGAACTACCACCATTCGAGGCAGGGGCGCCGGGAGCTGGATTTAGGGTAAGCTCTACACCTCATCGGTTGACATAGATTGTGAAAATTTTTCCAGCTTTGACAGCAATATTTTCCCATTCCAGAATCGACGAATTCCTATCATCATCCACCGAACAGCAAGCATCGCAAAAGGAGAATTTCTTTCTTGGGTAAGTAAACTCAACCCCACATACTTTGAACTTCCTCCTAATATAATCAACACGACGATTTGGTTTTATTACTAGCTTTAAAACATTGACTTAACTTAAAAAAAAAAATCATTAAAAACAGAAACACCTACCTTCCCAACCCGTCCTACAACTCTATACCGTTCTTACTGCCAATGAAACTGCTGCCTCCGCTGCTGCTATTCGATCGCTTCGACAGCTGCCGCTTCAGCTCCTTGTGCAGCTTCTCGTTGGCCTTGTCCGACTTGCAGATCATGCCGACCCCATTCAGGTGGGGGTGGTGCTTCTTCCGCGGAATGAAATCATCAAACGACAGTGACTTGCGGGATTTCTTGTTTCTCCCAAAGGTACTGAACATCAACTGCCGGCTGCCATCGGTGCTCTTCCGTGGCTTTTCCTCCGATTGCGTTATCTTCGCGGGAGCTTCTGCCGACTGGCCGCGGTCGTACAGGCCCCGCATCTTGTTCTTAATCGATCGACGATGGTGACCGAATTTCTTGCTGAACTCGCTGAAGGTGGACGCTTTGGTTGTTGGATCCTCTTCGGGTCTTTGGCTGGGCTGCTGCTGCTGCTGGGGTTGATCCTGGACGGATCGCTTCATCAGGTGGTTGATGTTCATTTTCTTCAGGTTGCGCCATAGGTTGTTCATTTGGGACGAGCTTGTCGTCGGTTGCGACAGTGGAAGTGAGGTAGACGAGGACGTCAGCGGCCCTTCTGGAATGTTGATCTAGAAAAATTGACAAATCCGGATGATATCTTGTAAGAAATTGCAACAAGTTTAACCCAACTCACCGGTTCGTAGATATTTTCACCATCGTTGGAATCGTCCTGATCTTCTCCAAAATTCACGAAACTCTCCATAACCAACTCGTTCAGTTCCTCGTAATCGTTGCTACCTCCACCGAAAATGCCGCCCAGTGGCAGGACATTAGCACTCTTGGACTTCTCCTTGAGCCGTCCCGTCTCCGTGTCCCGTACCATATCTACCTTGATGCTGTGCTCTTCCTCTGTCTCAGTTCCGTCATCGACTGTTCCCAGCGAATCGTGCTCCTTGAGCTGATTCATCCGCCGAGCTTTTTTCACATTCAAATCGACTACCGCATAGATCGGTTCCATCATTGGGGAAGCTCCCTCCATCGTGCCACCACCAACATTAATTTCTTCGTAATCGTTCCTCGTGGATGGAATGCTGCTGCGTTGAGCCGATGCCGATGACAATGTCCGGAAGAGGTCGATCTTACTGCTGAACCCGCGGTTCTGACTAGACGAAGACGGCGGCGGCGGCGGCAGCGGAGATGATGATGATGATGACTGTTGAAGGTTACTGCTGTGACTGTTGCTACGACTGCGACCACCACCAGCACCGTTGGCATTGAGCTTCCGGTAGAGGGTGTCCGTTGAGCCGACGCTCTTGTTGCCAGTGCCGGTCAGCAGGTTGTAGCCATTTGCCGTCAACTCGATCGTGATGCTGTACGGGGCGAGAAAATTCCTTTTCGCATTAGAGTTTTATTTTGCAGGTGGTGGATATGGAGGGGGGGCTGTGAGAGGTAAGAAAATTGGTCAAGCGAAAATTTGAAAATGGATCACCTCTAATGGATGCGTTGCGATCGTAGATGGAATGCGGCGATGCAATTAGGTAGGGGTAATTGAGTTTTCGCTTTTCATTCAAAGAGCTTTGTTTGCCAAAACGAGGCGGCTTTTGAAAGTATGGATGGCAAAATTAAGGCTGATTGGGTGGGGTATAATTATAATGGGGTGTTTGGTGTCATGATATCTCGTTAGATTTGGGCGAGATGAGAGCGCGGATCATATTGTAGGGAAAATATACCGGTGGTCAAGTTTCTCTTAAAATCGCGGGTGACGTATCAATCGACTCAGCTCGCTAGATCGAAAAATGCATGGATGTGTGTATATGATTGTGACGAATAACGTACGGCTTCTTTCTACACTGCAGTAAATTTGAAGCAATAATCGCCAAATGTAAAGTATCATGGTTCTATAGAACGCAGTTGAATATTTTAGGAATCGGTTAACTCAGTGGTTCCCAACCTTTTTGCTACCGCGGTGCCTTTTGCAATTTTCTGGAAAAGCCGCGGCGCACCAGTATTAAAAGGATAAGAAAGGAAGATTTCTTCATACAGAATCAAAAGATTTTTGTGTTTTTATATGGTTTTTTTATTATTAAAACATATTCTCAACATTAGCATTACATTTCATCATTTAAAACATTACATTTGCATGCACATCAGTTAAATTATTCAATGCGATGGCTGAACTTGCTTGTCTTTGTACAACGTATCAAATCTCGCGGAACACGAGAAAAGGGCCTATCATTGTTGATCGATTCTCTTCATAGATTTTCTCTTTCGCGAATAATCCGACTGCAAATGAATTTCTCATTGAGTATGTTGTTTCAGGCGCAAGCTAACATCATCTTCTGTTGAACTGTTCTGCGAGCTTAAAGATAAATTCGTTTATGTTGCCGTGGTAAACCAAAGAGAAAGTCGACGAAGCGAACCGATCAACGAGGATATTCCCTTTTCATATGTTACGCGAGAAATCTGGGAGTTAGTTTGGAAATTGCTACAAGATTCAAGAATCTCCGTTTTGATATCAAGCTTTATTTTGTTTTCATAGCAGCCACTGCCGAGAATTGTGTTTCGCAAAGAGACGAGGTTGCAAATGGAATCATAACGCGTAATACTTTCACGCTGATAAGTGGATAATCCGCCTTTGCGTGAATGTTCTGCCCCCATTTCATCACATTTATTGGTCGAGCATTAACATAGACCGTGTCCACGACATCACTGATATCTTTGGTCAGGCACGCCGCTGCTAAAGCTTCTCTGTGAATTATACAGAGTGTCCACACAGCATGGGGGCTGCCTTAGCTCAGTCGGGAAAGGCGCAGCTACAAATCAAGACCATGCTGGAGGTGGCTTGGTTCAATTCCCGGTCCAGTGTAGGAATTTTTTGGGTTGGAAAATATCTCGACTTCCCTGGGCATAGTGTATAATTGTACTTTTCACAAAATTATATGAATGCAAAAATGGTGCAGTGCATCTAGAACACTAAGTTGAGAGTACGCAATAAGCTAATATGCGATAAGTAATAAGCTTGAAATGCGAAGAAGCGCACACAGCATCCGGAGCTTTACTGCGAATCCGTGTTTGCAACTCTTGGAAACGACCGGACATGGAACGAGCTCCATCCGTGCAGATCCCGACGCAATTACCATGTTCGACCAGAATCGAGTATTTCGAACAGTTCCTCTCCGGATGTTCCTCCTGAGATCGGTTTGCAGAACAGCAAAACTTCACAAAAGTTAACCTCGTGAATGAAAAATACACTTAAAATAAATATGATTGTGAATATGGAAAATGAAGTGTTTAAGCACTTCTATCAAACGTGTGGCCTTTTTTGAGTGTAGCGACATAGAAACTCCAGTGATACCAGCTAAAAATTTCGCTTTGATTCTCAGTAGTATGCACAATGCATAATCAGTAGACTGCCAATGAATGTATGGGAAAAATTTGACCATCAAATTTCGCTAACAAACCATATACAAAATGTTTATTGCCTCGAAAAATGACCCTATGCAAAATTTGAGCTCAATCGGACATGATTTAGGGGTGGCGCAAACGCGTCAAAGTTTGACTTTTTTCACTCTCGAAAATCTCCCAAATTTATGCCAAATGTCTTAAAAATGCATAAAACGTCGAGATTTGGTGTTATCTAAAAAAAAAAAAAAAAAATCAAAAATCGACTTTCTGGGACTATATAGAAGATTGATGAGTCGGCTTCTAAAACTGTTCACAATTGTCTTCAACCTGCTTATATATCGAATTAAACCACCATTTAGGATCTAATACGAAATAATTCACTAGGGTGGTCCAATTATTCTTCATTAGGGTGGTCCAAAAATTCAAAAATAAATGAAAAACCACAACTTTTCATCAGAAATTCCTAAAATCAATTGTAAAAATATCTTGAATTGCGTTAATCTGTTTTTTTTGGGAATCATGAGTTTTACACAAGAGGAACATTTGCCTGAAAAGATGAAAAAATACTTGTTTTATACTGAATTTTGAATTTTTGGACCACCCTAATGAAGAATAATTGGACCACCCTAGTGAATTATTTCGTATTAGATCCTAAATGGTGGTTTAATTCGATATATAAGCAGGTTGAAGACAATTGTGAACAGTTTTAGAAGCCGACTCATCAATCTTCTATATAGTCCCAGAAAGTCGATTTTTGATTTTTTTTTTTTTTTTTTTAGATAACACCAAATCTCGACGTTTCATGCATTTTTAAGACATTTGGCATAAATTTGGGAGATTTTCGAGAGTGAAAAAAGTCAAACTTTGACGCGTTTGCGCCACCCCTAAATCATGTCCGATTGAGCTCAAATTTTGCATAGGGTCATTTTTCGAGGCAATAAACATTTTGTATATGGTTTGTTAGCGAAATTAAAAATTACCATTTTCGCTGGCAGTCTAATAATCAGTTTATGAAACTTTTTTTTTTATTTTGTGTACCGTATGTATTTGAGCAGTACAGATCCAAAAGCTTAAATATATGATTTGTAAAACGAAAATATATGACTGTCATTGAATTAATTGGAACAAATGAGAATTGAACAAGGACACTTTCGGTGTTTTCAACGCTATTGCTATTATCGTCGATGATGAATAAAGAAAGAATGGTTTTGCAGCGCGTAAGAGTGTACTCATTATACTACTTATCTGTTTCTGGAGGCTTCAGGGTTGGTTAGGAATACCGTTAATGATACGGACGGGTGTAACAAAAGATAATCACTTTAATCTATTCGTTTTAGAAGCTCATTATGAATAATTTTGAGTGAGACACTTATTTGATTTGGTTCAGTTAATTTGACGTATTTCTGCAATCTTAAATGAACCTACAAAATGATCCTCATAACCTAGCACTGCTACTCACCGCGAAATATAATTAATTTTGTAAGTTTTTTGCGGATAAAATTCTTAATGCTTCCAAAGTGTTTGGCATATTCCTCAAACCGGAGTTTTAAATAAAAATCGATGCATAATTTTATCAAAATATTGCGGTGATTGTTTACTGCATCCTGCTTCAAAATAAGTCCTAATAGTTTCAAAAAACATGTTGATGAGTGTTGCTGAAGCCGTTCGTAATGTCTTCCAGCGTTGAAATATTTGTGGTGATTAATGAGTATTCTCAGTTTAGTTTCAGAAGTCTTCCAGGTCAAAAGAATACACAAGAACACAAGAGTAGAGAAACACAGGAAATTAAACTTTTGTTTATTCATACGGCCCATGGCAAGCCTTTATCGGACCTTGGTCGTATGCAGACAGGACAGTCTTCGAGCGTCTGTTCACCATGGAGGTGCGGCTCAAAACGGCGTCTGTTCTCCATGTTAGGAGCGGCTGATCAACATCCTGGTGCCAGTGTGGGACTCTAAACAGTGCTGCGCACGATGGTCCCCCGGCGAGACCATGGGGGTTGCCAGCCGTAAAAAACAAAAGTACATGAAGCAAGCAATGTAAATACGGACCGGAACAATCGGCATAGACCCAAGCAACGGAAACGGACTAACGATTGGAAACTCTCAGGTCGGCCAGGAGGAGGAATTCAGACCGGTTATAGGAAAGTTCAGCGCTCACCAGCTAACGAACGCCAACGGCCTTAGACTCATCGATTTCACCGCCTCTAATAACATGGCCATACGTAGTACCTACTTCCAGCACAGCCTCCCATATCGATATACCTGGAGATCACCGCAGCAGACAGAATCGCAAATTGACCACGTTTTTGATCGACGCAAGGCACTTCTCGGACATTATCGACGTCAGGACCTATCGCGGCGCACTACCTTCTAATGGTCAAGGTGCGCCAAAAACTTTCCGTTGCCAATAACATTCGGTACCGATGCCCGCCACGGTACAATCTGGAGCGACTGCAGCTGCCCGAAGTCGCAACTGAATACGTGCAGCGTTGCCGGATGAGGGAGAGCTCACCGAAGCCCCTCTTGATGACTGCTGGAGCAACGTGAAAGCAGCCATTAACAGCGCTGCTGAAGGCGCCGTTGGGTCCGTGGAGCGGAATCGACGGAACGATTGGTTCGACGAAGAGTGTCAGACGGTTTTGGACGAGAAGAACGCAACGCGGGCGGCGATGCTGCAGCAAGGAACCCGCCATAATGTGGAGCGATATAAACAGAAGCGAAGACAGCAAACCCATCTTTTCCGGGATAAAAAGCGCCGTCTGGAAGAGCGGGAATGCGAAGAAATGGAGCAGCTGTATCGTTCTCAAGAAACACGCAAGTTCTACAAGAAACTCAACGCATCCCGCCAAGGCTTTGTGCCGCGAGTCGAAATGTGTCGGGATAAGGAAGGGGGTATCTTAACGGACGAACGTGTGGTGATTGAAAGGTAGAAGCAACATGAAGAATGGCTTCGTCGGTACAGC